CGACAGCTACATAGCGTCATAAACATCAACTAGGGCTGCAACGAATATTCTATTTCACAAACGAACGAATACTCATCCATAACGAACGAATAACGAATATTCTCTCAAAATGCTGAATTATTTCTAAGGGTGAAACAATTATTTAAATAGGAACTAAATCGATTTTTTTGTAAATGAATCGAATATTCTATACCAAAAGAATCTTAGAAAGAGTTTGGCTAGTCCCCAGTTGTTCTAGACCAAGTAGATGTCTAGTGGAGTCATGTCCACTACTTCTGTGAGTCATAGTCCCCTTTCTCAACACATAACACATGTACATAATCACTCCGTCCGTTCAAGAATTACTACAAATAGATCGACAGGCGCAGAGTGTGCGCACGTGTCAAAACGAACGAATATTCTAAAGGAAAAAATATTCCTTCCATCGGGTTCCTAACGAATATCAATCGAATATTCGAATATTCCTTGCAGCCCTAACATCAACACATTATACAATAGGAGAGGCGCAATCTGCATCAGCCGACAAGCCACTCACCTCCATATCTGAGGCAGGCTGGACAGGGTGTACATGCGAGTGACCAGTAGTGACTTGAAACAAGCCAGTGCATGACTGGGCACAGCTGCTCAGGGCACGTAACACAACACAACACAACAAACAAACAAAAATTCTTTTTCTCTTATTGGCCACAGGCCATCGTGAGAATAAAAGATTTCAAACAAACAAACAAAGCAATGTACAGTCATTGATTAGTCAACCTCGTGAATTACGAACGGCCTCCGGTATAACATTACGAGTAGACGCGTAACTAGCAACACACGTGCACACACCGTACTCTACTATGCTATATCTCACATCCGTTTTGTCACCACCACCAAGATAGTATATGATCCAAAAAAACAGACACCGGAAGAAAACAAAAGAGCTTGAACGCATCAAGACAATCACATTGTACTCTTGAATTAAATTATGGTGAAAAAGAAGAAGGACAAAGTTATGACCATCCGAGTTCAACTCTTGAGTTAAACTCAAGTTTCCTGAAAGCTCAACTCGAATACGGGAAAAACTGAATGATAAAGTGCATGAGAGAGAAAAGTACAGAGCAGAACTTACAAAACGGGTCCGATTCGTCTTCCTCGTCGGGCGAATCACGTTTCTCTTGCGACACGGACAGTGTCTTCATCAACACTGAACGCGGTGCTTCAAACAGCCATGCCGTGTCGACGTCAAGGGTACGACAAAGGAGCTAGAGGATACAGAAACAATAGCCAAGAATATCCCGATGTGGCACACTGCATGCAATAAACAAATCTTCAAGGAATGTGACTGTGAGATGTTGCGAGAGGTAGTCGAGCAAATACATGCACCGAACACAAACGCACACGAAAACACAAAAATACGCACACACCCACACACACACGTACACGTACACATACACACATACACACACGTACATACACACATACGCACACGTACATACACACGTACACAATCATGAACACACGTACACGTACACACACACACATACACGTACTGACACACACATTTACACATTTAGACACATACAAATATCCCCCCCCCCCCCCCCACACACACACATTAACACAGCGCACAACGTACCAGAACGCAGTTGAACACGTTCCGATCCAGCTCGCCTTCGGTGTCATCACCCACAGCCTCAACGGTTGCTACACGTCGATTACGATTGCGAGGGAACAATCGGTTAGCGATGCCTCGGTCATCTTTGCATCGCTGCGTTGTGTACTCCATGAAACCACCCACCACTCTCATCACCCTGAACAGACAAGTGGAGTATAGCAGACACAATGGATACAATTGGCCGCAGGCACTGAATCAGAGCAACGTGTAAATGTGTCCACTGACACAGATACATATCTGGATATGTTATAATGTACATGCACACACGCATGCACCCACAAAATAATCCACCCACATGCGCACACACACACACACACACACACACACACACACACACGTACACGCGCACGCACGCACGCACGCACACACACACATGCACACACACACACACACACACACACACACACACACACACAAGCACACACACGCACGCACGCACACACACACATGCACACACGCACACACGAGCACTGTACGTACGTCGCAAAGACAAGCTGACGTTGACGTTTACGCGACGCTTCAGTGATCTGAACATACAGCACAACACCACAACACACTCAAAACAACAGACTGTAAGTCTAATACAATAAAAACTATTCTATAACACAGTTGCGCTCACCGAAATCCGACACAAAGTGCAAAGCTGACGCCCTGGACCAGTTCCGATTACTCTAATTTCACAAATTTTCGGTGTACTTTTATTTTCGGTACTTTCGGTGCGTCTGCTTCATACCTAAAATTTCAATACACCGAACAAACACTAACACACATAATCCAATAGGGAACAGCTTCCCTGTACCGAAAATTTCTGTTCACCTAACCTGGCCTTTTGCCCTCATACCGAAAATATTGAGCACCGAAAATTTCTGAAATTAGAGTACATCATTGTATGTGTACATGTGTACATCCAGCCGCATTCATTCCACTGCCAGGGCGTCAAGGGCCGTGCAAGTTGAGGGTGCCAGCTTTGCACGTTGGGTCGGATTTCAGTGAGCGCAACTGTGTAATAGTATGAACAGGTCACATATTGCCTGCATAAACAAAATCATTAATCATACAGGGGACATGCATCTATCAATGATCGTTAACCAGAGTTGCTTGTTGGTGGCGAGATCGAGGCATTCCTGAATCGGCACATTCAGAGGCGTGAGGTCTTCTTTGACATTGTTTGCGGGGTCGTCCACGGGGCCGCTGGATGTCCGAAGTATTGAGGGCTAGCTGCAGTGCTTTCTGGTCCCTCCCGGGCAACGTGCCCCAGCCACGGGAGGCTCTTTACATGTTCGCGAGATGGGGGCTTGGTCGTAGGTATTCTAACACAATGGTATAGCTGGCGGTAACACGCGCAAACTTACATGTAATTTCAGTCGATAATACAACATTTTCATGTGGAGGGAAATCCCCATAAATGGGAGACAGCAAAGTAAAGCACTGCCAAGGTGACATCCCCCCCCCCTCCCTCCCCCCCCCCCCCCAAACTGTGCAACTCCACTATACTTTCAGTGGACACGTCACGATTTGATCCGGTACAAACTCGTGCCAGCACCCGTCACACGTATATCATGCAAGCGTCGGAAATCACACCTGCACGAAGCACAACACTGTATAGAGCTCCGGCTAACTCACTGCTACTTGCTGGAGTTCTCCATCGCCGGCGGAGTCGAGAGACGGCGCCGACTTGCACGTCCGCCCACTAGCCCGCGTGGCCAGGCCAAACAGGACGCTGAGCAGCTGGTGCACGCACCACACAAGAACCTGCTCCGTAGAATGGCCGTCAGACACTCTGTCGCCTGACGATGCCAGATGACGACTATCTGTAGTGGAGCGACCAGCACACGGAGCGGTACAGATGCGATTGATCGTCAGATTTCTACAATCCACGTCCTCAGCGGTGTTCGCACTATCTATTGGATTAGCGGCATGAACATGTTGAGCATGTGCACTACCATTCCTAGCTCCTGCTGAATCACTCTCCAGTGCCGATGATGTCATCGTTGCCATGGGCACGGTTGATGCGTCACCCGTCGCCGACGTCGGCGATGATGACGTAATCGTTTGATGTGAAGATGCGGTAAGGCATGCCGGCGATGACGTCATAGCCGGCTGTGGCACGGTCGCTGACGTCGATGCCGGGAACGGACAGGCGCTCGCCGCCAGGGCCGTCCGCAGGTTGGCCACGTCCGTCTGGATGTCCACAGCGCACACGACGGAGAGGTCCGGGTGGCCGACACCGGCGACGTTCGTCGTCCGACGTTTGTGCCAGAGCTGGTCGAGCAACTCCGGAATCAGATGGGCCACTTGCTTGTGCCATCCGTCATCAGCAAGACGCGATACAACTACGGAGCAAAGAACAGCAAGAAAGAACAAAACATTGTTTTATGTACAGTACGAGATGGTGGTACAGTTAGACCTCGCTTAACTGCATACATCCGTTTTCAACAAAAATATCCGGATAGGCGAGGGAACCGGGTAATCGAACACGCGCACGGCATGTATGCATAACATATGCTGTAAATCGGTAACCGACAATTTTCTAACCGGATGGCGAGGGATCCGGATAAAAGAGGACCGGATAAGCGAGGTCTGACTGTACCCCACTACCGCGAGTACAGTACGAGCTCCGCAATAGCAGAAGAGGAAAAGATGAATCTAAAAAGAAAGGACCAAAATATTACATGTTATCCGTAGTTAGTGTCCAACACTAACAGCAAGAGTACATAACCCCAAGAGTGTGCAACTGCCTGCACAACCTCTATGCTGTGCTGCGACGGCAGAACTTCACATCACGTGACATCAAAAGGTTATGCTGGCAAACAGTGCAAAGTGATCAGAAGAGAGTTGTACCCCAAGCTGGGCTGCGTACTACCCAGTATCTATCATGCACAGAGTGCAAATAATGTGTACGGGTTCATCACGTGATGTGAAGTTCTGCCGTCGCAGACCCCATAGCTGGAGTTGCACACTCTTGGGGTTATGTACTCTTGCTAACAGTTATAAGCAAGATGTTGTAAGATGGTTAGAGCATCGCTAGCTACAAGCGAGGGTCCCTGGTTTGAGTCCTGGTGGTGACAGTCATAATTTTTTTATTCAGACTTTTCCCGTTTGTGTCTTTCCCTCAAACTAGTGAAGATGTGGTAAGATGTTTCTTTTTAACTGGCCCGCAACTTTGAAATGTCCGTAACTCCGAATCACATACACTTTGATGGGGAAAGGCCATAGATACGGGATGTGACGTCACCGTTTCCACAAGAAGTGCCAAAAGAGTAGTAACGTTTCCACTGAAACTCGCCCAAAGGGTGCCCGGTAGACCGAAGTACCCGTAACTTCGGGGTCCGGATAACCGACG